GGGGGGCTCGGTTACACCTGTGTGAGGCAACGCGGCACACCGGCATTGTTCGGCCCTTGTCTTTAATTTATATCAGGGAGTGGCTATGTTGGTTATCGTTTTCACTGCCGGGGACCCCGCCCCCTCCCCGATTCCTTATCTGGGGGACAAAAGTGAGCACAATGATGTGTTGTTGTGCGGCCTGCGGTCTAACTGCGCTGGGGCGGCGGCCGCGGTGGAGGCTTGGCGGGCGGAGGCCTTAACAGAAAACTTTTGAAGTAAGTACACTGAAAAGCCGAGTGTTCAACCGGTTGACACTAGCAAATACTGGCTGAACTGCCTGAAGTACGCACGTGCCTGTAGGCCAGGAAATATATTTCCTTGTGGATAGCGAGATTACAAATTATTCGCCAGGAATCGCGTCTTGCTCTTCTTGCTATTATACTTCGTTTCCCTCCTTTTTAACGGGAGGAATAGAAGTGTTTCGTTGATTGTTGTGGTGGAGGGGAGAGAGAGGGAGACGGGGAGAGGGAGAGGGAGGAGAGAAAGAGAGAGAGAGAGAGGACCGCCGCCAGTACGAGAGAGCGAGAGGAGGGGAGGGCGGGGGGCGGCCTGCAGCGGACAGACTGGCAATGAGACTGTTGTCTCTTCATTCAGCTCGACCGGGTTTGGATTGGAGATCACTCCTCCGAGTGGGACTGCTGGTCCCGACCGCCCGACCCTTGCTGCTGCTCGCTCCTGCTCCATAAATGGCTACACTGCGAGGAAAAGCGATTGAAACGTGACTCAAAGAAAGAAAAATTAATGAAATATATAGTTACCTTTACAACTTTTGCTCGAAACGTGATGCAGCAGGTGGGGCTGTGTGGTCTGCCAGCCCACACGGGCTTCTTCAACTTCAATTTCAACGAGGGTTATTACGACTGCTTGTTACACACGCACATTTGGCCACGCGACACTTGAGGAGCAGATCAGATCGGGATACAATTACCAAAGATTATTGTCGAAGTTTGCGACTCCACGAAGATCTGTATCGTCCACGCTAATGCGGAGGCAAAGCAGGCAGGATGTCGTCGTACCTGGAGTGGTGCGCCACCACGGGCCACCACGGCCATCCAGCACCACCACCCAGCGCGCTTAGGGCCGTCAGGGTCAGGATGTCCTGCTCGTCGAAAACGCGTCGTGTGTGTGTGTGTGTGTGTGTGTGTGTGTGTGCGTGTGTGTGTGTGTCAGACGCCGGGGATGGTACAATGGTCGAGTGCAATGGGGTGGAAGTGCCATGCTCCGCTCCGCTCTGCTGCTCCAGGTCGACTCGCTACATGAGTTAATTGTGGTCGCTCTGCCCGCTCTGCCCATTGTCGACGCAGGTAATGCGATTTATTCCGCTCGCAAATCCTATCATGTATCGCACCTCCCAGCAGCAGCAGCTCCGGCCGGCCAAAAGGGAGAGGAGGGCGTGTGGGGCGGGGGCGGGGCGCCTGTCTGGAGACCTGGTAGCTAGCACCCCCCGCCCCCTCCCTCCGGAGCCCCCGAGACCCGACATGTGTCGCGAGGCGCCACGCCACGAGGTGCGAGGTCG